CAGGCGCGGTGCCTCTGGCCACCTCATCACCACCTCCACCTCCACCGCCTGCACCATCCAGAGGGCACCAGTTTGGTGGTGTCTGCTCTGGAACAGAGACAGGATGAAGAGGAAGAGAGGTGGCCCCTTGCCTAGAAGGAGAGAAGGCAAGCAGGCTTCACAGGGAGGCTGCCAGGGTGGGGGGAGCAGAGGACACTGTGGGGGGCAGAGTGTGTCTAAGGATATTCAAACCATGGGGAGCCAGGACCCACTGCAGGCTGGGCTGAGGACATCTCACTGCAGAAGGGTGGGAACCACACAGGTGGAGTTTTCCTGCAGATTTTGAACTATGGTGGGACTGGGAGTGCGGACAGCAGAAATGCACACCGTGGCAGGGTGGTGGTGAAGCAGGCAGCTGGTAGCCTTTGGTCTCTTCCCTGCAAAAGTGTGTGTGTGTGTGTGTGTGTGTGTGCGCGCGCGCGCGCGTCAAAAACCCTTTGTTTTATGAATATGGCCAGGCAAGAGCCCTCGGGGCGGAGTTTTTGAGAGGCTGCTGGCCATCACACTGAGCAAAGCGCTGTCAGGATTTCAATTCCAGCTGGCCCATATTCCCCTCATGCCCACGAAGGGGGCACCAACGTTGGCGCCAACAGCAAAACCATGTGGCTTCAAAACCCCAGACAAGCTCCCTCCTTGCCATTCACCCCGTAGGGACCCTGCACCCCTGGCCTTTGGCAACTCTGAGCTTCCCTCCCCCCCCTCCCCACTTATCAAAGGCCTTGTGGCCCTACGATCACACACAGGCCAACAATGGTCAAGGAGATTTCTGTCCTAAGAAAGAGATGTTGCTCATGGCACCCATCGTCTCTACTGTGACTGCCATTGGTGGTGCTGCTTCGGTACGGAAAAGCATTCAATGTTCTCATGCCTGTGAGCAAAAAAATAATTGCAGATTTATGGAGGGACTCTGTCCTCTTAATTTAACGCCAGCCTGTTCAAGTACAAAGGCAAACTGCTTATGAGAGAGGAGAAATGTTGAAACATTTTATTAATCCAAAGAGAGAGAGAGAGAGAGGAGGCAGCTGGGGGGAATTGCTGAAGGGGCAGCCCATGTTCAATCCTAATCAAAGCACAGTTTGAAAGATGAGCTGCCCTAGAAGAAGAGAAGAGAAATAAGCAGTTTTGCCATGGGTTTGGTTGGGTTTTGGGTTTTGTTTTTTGTTTTTTTAAGTTTTCAATGCTCACAAGCCAACAAGAAGGACTTTTTAAAAAAAGCAATGGAGGTTTGGGTTAAATGATTCTTGGCTGAATTAGCCAAAGACGCTTGCGTTTTGTTTGAATTTATATGCATCAGGTATGATACAGCCACCATCAGGGTGAGTTATGGGGCCCTGTGTGCGCATTATGGAGATTCATGTGCTTGAGTTTCTAAAACACCGCTGAGTAAATACGCCTGCTGGGATTTGGCAAGGAGAGATTTGTCGGTCTGGAGTGCCCTCTGCTGAAATGTTCCCAGGTTCTTTGCATCCGATTTTAGAGACCAGACAGACAGACGCTATTGTTCAAACAAAATTCTTCTCTTGGGCTTGTATGCTTTGTTTTATTTTTTTAACTTCAAACACCCTGCAACACCCACCCAGAGAATGTTTTATCTGTTTTGTGAAAATGACAACAAATACAATATGTTTTTGTATTCTCGAAGGCTTTCACGGCCAGGATCTGATGGTTGTTTTGGGTTTTCTGGGCTGTTTGGCCGTGTTCTTAAGGTTTTTCTTCCTAACATTTTGCCAGTCTCTGTGGCCATGGGCCTCTTCAGAGGACAGCACTCTGTGCTCTGGTGTAGTTGGCTTGGGAGTGCACAGAGCACAGAGTGCTGTCCTCTGAAGATGCCAGGCACAGAGACTGGCGAAATGTTAGGAAGAAAAACCTTAAGAACACGGCCAAACAGCTCGGAAAACGCGCAACAACCAACAGTATGTTTTTGTTGCTTTTTAAAATCACATTGTCCCTTAATCAGCTTTAAAACAGGTCATAATAATTTAGTCTAAAAGGCATTGCAGCACTCGTGGCAAAATGCATAAAGCAAAGTGATGAACGTCCCTTGGTGGTAGGCCAGCCCAGGAAGGCCAGGAAAAGCACCCCAGACTTCCAGACCCTTCCACCCAGACCTTTTGTCAGTGCCATGTGCCCGTTCGGCACGGTTGAGAGCCACAACCTCCAGATCTTGCGGCACCACCAAGAAGCCCCTTTCAGTCAGATTAACCCTCCTGTTTCCCATATGCTTAGAGAGGAGCAGCCGGGGTCCTCTGGTCTGTGCTCATCTTCTCCACACAGATGGTGATGCGTTTGCAAAGCTGGAACCTCCGGCGTACGCACAGGGTCCGGATCCAGGCTGGTGCCCAGGCCTCCTGTGGTTCTTCTTCTTCACAGGCAGAGCCTCCGTGAGGGCAGGAGCCATCTCTTTATCAGGTCTGCTCTCCATGTGTGGAGAAACAAGTGACTTTAAGCATGTTGGCAACTCTAGTAATAACTGTGTGCTGTCAAGTCAATTCTGATTCATGACAACCCTTTTCAGGGTTTTCCAAGTAAAGGATACTCAGAAGTGGCTTCTCGTTCCCTTCCCTGGGACTCCTGGGCAACTTGCCTAAGGCCACACAGACTGGAGCCACAGTGGGGAATGGAACGCCTGGCTTCTGGCTCCTCGCCCACCACACCTAAACCAATGAGCTAGCGAGCGAGCTAGGCTGGTAACAATGGGAAGTAATAACTGACCTGAACAGCGTGCACTGGGAAATAACAGGCAGCTCTATAGTTATTGTAACTATTGTAACTACTCTCACACGTT